GATTTGTTATTACAGTTCTCCACTGGTAGTGGTTTAGGATTTGTTATAACAGTTCACCAGTGGTGGTGGTTTAGGATTTGTTATTACAGTTCTCCACTGTGGTGGTTTAGGATTTGTTATTGCAGTTCTCCAGTGGTGGTGGTTTAGGATTTGTTATTACAGTTCTCCACTGTGGTGGTTTAGGATTTGTTATTACAGTACCCCACTGGTAGTGGTTTAGGATTTGTTATAACAGTTCACCAGTGGTGGTGGTTTAGGATTTGTTATTACAGTTCTCCATTGGTGGTGGTTTAGGATTTTTTATACAACGCGAATGAATGTATTTCATTTAAGTAACGCATGTTTAACTTAGTTTTCGGTTTAACATTTTTCAAAATATATATTTCTTCTATTTACTCGTTTTTCATGGTAAAGAAACGTCTCCCCACATTGGCTTCTAAGCTTTTAAAGCTATTTCGTCAGCATTTGTTATTCTAGTACACATTATGTTATTCAATAGAAGTTTATATAAAATTTTTCATTGTTATATGTTCTCTGTCTGCAAATTTAGCATTGGCTATAGCTAGTCTATTTTTACAGAAATACACACTGAATACAATAATCGATCTAGAGACATCGTAAGGAAAACGTAACATCTTGTTTGGTAGAAATATTTTCATACGTCCAGAAGTTCTGCCTTCTCCGTAATATCCACAGTAAATAATTTACTATAAAACTGTTAAAATATTTTAAATGGTTTGTGTCACAAAGTATCGTTCAGTCGAATGTCAAGGTATTATATAGTGATCACATCCAATCACAGAACATGACAATTAAAAGCAACCTACTGAAAACATTATATATATATATGCACAGTACTTTTTCCATTAAATCAAACATGTTGGTGAAATTATTATATACGATTTAATGCTCATTAGAATATATGATCGTGTTTCTCTACCCCATCAAATACATTGTAAAAACTTGACATTAAGATCCAAAGGTGTAAACGCGTCTAAAAAAGTTGTTTACAGCTGGACAGAAATATTCCATATATCAGCAAATTATATAAATTACACATTCTGTTTTACATATTTTGGACGTTCATAATTTTGATAGTACAATCAGTTTTTGAACGAATTTATAAATGAATGACATGACTTCTTACTCATAATATTTTTCGTTATTTAATCTCGATCTCTTACTCACGAAAGTTGTCCTTTTGACAATACAATAACAACATCATACTTAACTACGTACAGTTATCTATCTCCATCAGGTGTTAAAAAACTTCATACACTCCAGTTACATCTGTTCTTGTTAATCATCGTGTTCTACTCATATCTATCTTTTAGTTAAATGAAATTTAACTGAAACTTTGTGACTATAATCATTAATTCGTCCAATAATTATTATCTGTTTATAAACTTAGAAATCGAATGATACTCTGAACATAGCATAATAAATATATTTGAATATTCATTATGGTCAAGAAGGGGGAAAAGAACGGTCTTAATTATATTCAAAAAAATAATGAAACTTCATTTTGTGTTCCATTATCTAATATCCATTGTAATAATGCAGAAAGTATTCAATCTAATTAAGTTGCAACAATGTAGAATAATAAATATTCAACACCTTGCAGACTTTACTTTGTTGATTTTTTTTTCAAATATATGTTTTGTCTTTACCTTATTGTTTCATTAAATAAATGCATATTCTATAAAAACTCTGCAGAAGAAATGAAACAATAAATGTTAAACACACCTGTTACATTCGTCGTCCACACACCACTGGTAGTCTCCACTATCTTGAAAACAAGATTCACCGCTCCGACTAACATCATCATCCTTGTCTCTGGATACGTCATCACTAACGTCGTTGGTTTGTTCTAAAGATTGGCTGTGATTTGATATCTGCTCCAATGATATAGACGATGTTGTTTCAGGAACACCCATGGTCTGTGTGACAGGCAAGACGTCGGCTAAAACATCGAAAAAGGCAATGGTTGGTGCATGATCACTTGTCAGAGTATCTTTGCGTGTGTGTATTAACTGTTTTTCTTTCAATTATACATTAATATTTTATATAAGAAAAATCATCATACTTCTCCGGGTCGGCAGTCTCAGTATTTTTCAGAGCCATTGGTGACTTCTTGAAAATAATTACATGATTAAAATAACCTGTTAAAATTTAACTATCAAAAAGTCTTGTAGTATGCTAAACATATTTACTGTTTCCTGTATGCTTATTACAATAAGGTATGCGTTTCATGTTCATGTAGAATTTTTATAATTTTTCACACATGCACGCTTTTAGCCATGTGTGTAATTTTAACAGCACAGAAAATAGCTGTCAGGGTTTTAACAATATGTGTAGGCTAAGAATTCTTCTACAGTAGGTGTCTGTGATTTGTTGGCGATAAATTCAGACAATAAACGGACAGAACACATTCCACTTGTTTTGCCCCTAGTGGCACAGCGGTATGTCTGCGGACTTATAACGCTAGAAACTGGGTTTCGATACACGTGGTGGGCAGAGCACAGATAGCCCTTTGTGTAGCTTTGTGCATAATTACAAACAAAGAAAACAATCCACTTGTTTTAAAATAATATATTCAAAACAAGTTAAACACATGTACAAAAGATTCCTTACACTATGGATATCATAGTTGTATCTCAGACTCTAAATAGTTCTCTTTTTGTTGTAGAAAATCCATTTAAGCTGATTCAATTACTTTAGAATCCAATTGACAAAACGAACTATTTTTCTACTTTTATCACAACAGTATCAGCGAATAATTCACTTACGCTACCTCATGGGTTACCACAGTTGTAGCTCGAACTTCAAATAATCGTCTCCTTTTCATCAAAGTCCATACAGGCGGGTTCAGTTACTTTAGAACATCCTTTGACAAGACAAATGTTCCTCCTTATCTCTATTAAACTGTGAAACTCACTTTAATATATTACCCGTTATGGCTAATTACTCACACGCTGGCTAACTTCAGTTTTCTAGCTTTTCTCTAAACTTTTTTTTCACTTCACTTCAGTTCTTCTTACTTCTTAACTTGCGCTTGCGAGCAACCTATATAAATAGCTTATTCACTGAGGCCTAGAAAAATACCGAAGATTCGAGTAATGTGACGTCATTAATATTAGTAAAACCTCGACAACAATGAATTGCAAACACAATGTACGGCTCTTACTGAGTTATGTAACCAAACTTGTAAAACCTATCGCCTTTAAAATAATTACTTTTAACCCTCTTGTAATGGAAAACTAAATAATCATTAAATATTAACTCACAAAATAAATAAATTAATAATACCTACACTAAACAGTCTTGTATATCCAGCAATAATGTTAATCAGGGATTGTGACTAAACTATTTTCGCTCTAACTATCTATTAATCTGTATCATTCCACTTGAATATTACGTCTTTTTCGTGTGAATGATTGCTGTAAAGTAGTACAAACTATGTAAATGGGGGCAGTATTATTTTCCACTGGCAAGCCAGGTAATGCTTTAAAGAAGGATCCTCATTTATTTTCTGTAGGAATGGCTAACTATAAGCAACAGGTAGCAGAAACCAACCGACAGAGACAGCAGTACAGAACCTTGTATATAATACTATTCTATCTTCGTTTGGATCAAATTAGCGTGAAACAGTCTAGAGACAATCTTCCAACCATATGTTTGAACAAATATTACATGGGCAGCAGAATGTTATGCAGTGACAAATCCCATGGTCACAGTATCAAAATTTCTAATACTACCTTACTCTGTGTTCTAAGGTGCGCTGATAATCTCTATGGCTGAAGAAAAAAGGCAGGTGCTTCAATAGTGTAAGATTATCAGCGCACCTTAGAACACAGAGTAAGGTAGTATTAGAAATTTTGATACTGTGACCATGGGATTTGTCACTGCATAATTTGCTCTTTCCTTGACAACTGCACTTTACTGTTCTTTTAGCTTTTGCGAGTTTTAAGTTTAAATATAATTGAATAATAAAATGGTATTTTCCAAAAGTATAAATACTTTTAACCCAGGGGGTAGAACTCAATGAGCATCTTATAAGGTCACAAGTTGAGTTAGTTCCCTTTCATGAATCTATGGCTGTGGTAAGATTGTAGTCATGGATTTTCACAAGAGTGGCAAAGGCTTGACATCTAAGAGAAAACTACTTCAAGATCTAATTAATGTCTTAGACAGATATATGCCTTTAGTAATGAATTCTTCCTCTGAGAATCGATCTCAGTGCACAGGAGACATGGCTTACTGAAAGTTGCTGTGATGGCTTGCAGACTAATCAATCTGAGATTGAATGGGATGATCTGTATAAGATTCCCAGGCATTCATTGAGCAACACAACCCTGATCAGTTCAATGTCACTCAAAATTAGGCAAAGGAGAATGTAGGTGCCACAGGTGTATTACACCTACCAGCAGTCTAAATTGTTCCATCAACAGAAGTGATAACAGGCACCAACATGTGAAAATAATTATCCACAGTGTAGTTTGAGCCTGTAGTTGATAGAAGGTGTGCTGCCAATGCAACCATGGGTCACTGAGAGACATGAAGTCAAGCAGATCCCATGGACGAGCTACCCTCAGAAAATTGTCATTCTGCTGCCCATGTAATATTTGTTCAAACATAAGATTCCATAAGCACACCTAAAATGCTGTACTCGCGACATTTAGGACGTTTCAGCCTGGTCTTGGCAGAGACTTCATGAGAGGTAGGTTACTATCAGCACCACAGGTCCCTATGATTGAGGTTAAGCATATTTCTCTTCTAACATTCAATAGTGTGACTAATGACAAAATGGGCAATTTATTAACTTTTTTTTCAAATAGGTAACTGATTGGAATAGGTGGATTCAGTGACAGTTAGTAGTACATCTGATGTGGAGTTTTGATCGTCCTGTGCGTGACTCAATTGAGCACTTAAGTGAGGAGCAACTTGATGACAAAATTTCAATGAATATTTGACACAGTGAAGAACTTTGATAAACATTAAGCTGAATGCAAGGCTCAAAAAGAATACCCACAGAGAACTGTTTGCTTATGTGAAAGTTATGTGCATCTACACAACAAGTTATACTCTACTATGGCATTGGCAGATCGTTAGGATATCCTGATTTCCAAGTTTATCAAAGGAATACAGAGTTAGATTATACAGCATCACCTGCTCTGAAAGACGTTTTAATCCTGATGGAAGCAGTTTCTCTGGCTACTGGGTTCAAGATAGTAACAAAATATCCAACAGTAGTTGCAGTTGCTGTTCCTTGCCCAAAGTGCTCCCTCAAGGTGCCTCCATTGTGCTAAGATTAATTTAGCCACTAATACAGCCCACTTGATGCTAGTGATTGAGTAAGGCTTCACAGACCTTCTCATGATGATTTTTCTGCAGTAGATGCTGATGATGCCTCCAACTACATGTTGTTCTAGAAAAAAGGACTGAAGCATATGTTTTGGTTATGGGCTGGTGGGTCACTGTTAAGAGGCTAATGGAGCTTACACTTGAAACTTGAGAGAGACTTGATGTTACGATGATGTATTGGTGTTTGGTTGCACATTTGAGTCTTCTGCTGAGAATCTGAGCATGTTTCTTCATTAATTATGTAATAATAACTGTCAGAAGAGCCACTAATATTCTACAATACTAATTACAATTAATAATTAATTGTCTTACTTATGAGTAACAAGCAAACTGCAAAAACATTTTCATAAGAACTTTACACTAGGTCATCATTTGGGTACCCTTGATGCTTGTGTTTTCAGCCCTTAACCCAAGAACACCTGATGTAGTTGGGACTGCAAAATTACATAGAATTGAAGTAATATTGTCACATATAAAGTTTCATGTGCTATGCCTATCACATCTATCTAATATATTAATAAGAAAGATAAGAAAGGAAGATTAAGTTGAAGCCAAGGAAATGAAGACTTACATACACACACACAGGTGGAGTTCCTTGTTTGCATTATGGGTAGAGATAAAATATCTATAAACCCTATGTTTTGTTTTTGAATTTCGCGCAAAGCTTCACGAGGGCTATCTGCGCTAGCCGTCCCTAATTTAGCAGTGTAAGACTAGAGGGAAGGTAGCTAGTCATCACCACCCACCGCCAACTCTTGAGCTACTCTTTTACCAACAAATAGTGGGATTGACCACCACATTATAACGCCCCCACGGCTGAAAGGGCGAGCATGTTTGGTGGGACGGGGATTCGAACCCGCGACCCACAGATTGCGAGTCGAGTGCCCTAACCACCTGCCCATGCCGGGCCCCAAACCCTATGAATATTGCAGTTGTACAAGATTGGCATCAGCTTATGGCAAAGTGAGATATTTGCATTTTTCTTATTCTTTCATTGTATTATCAACATTTCATGGCCAACTTTTTGAAGATTGCTGCACTGTTATCTGCTCTCTCTAAAGATGATTCATATTTTAGATGGAATGAAAAAATGTGACCAATTATTTCAGACTCTAAAATGCGCTATAGTTAAAGCTCTGGTGTTGGCATACCCAATACGAGATTTTCATTCCTACTGGACATTAGGGACGGTGAATGTGTTATTTTTTCAGTTGTAGAACAAAATGAAACATGTAATCGTGTATGTTAGCCATATGGTGATGGCTCCTGAATACAGATACTGCACAATGAACAAAAAAACACTTACAGTTGTAATATTATTTAAATATTATTGTTTTTTTTACTTGTATGGTAGAAACTTCACCATTCATATTCAACCATGCTTCAGTGAAGTGGCTCATGAACTTAAAGTATCTGGAAGATTTAATGGCTCATTAAAGGACAATGTTACAAGAGCAGATTTGTCATTGTATTTTATTACTTGGTCATGAAACACAAATCACTGATGGATTGTGTTGCCATTCACTGCCTGTTCATTGCATGGCCTGACCCTGGATACTGTGTGGCAGTTAAAGTTGTTCCTACAACAGCACTATTGAG